GCCTGTGAGTATCCTAAGCAGTTATATCCTTAGAAATGCTCCATGCTACTCTTATTACTATGACCGTTACTGCTTACAACACAATGTACCATTTGATGAGACTATTATAAACGGGTCAAGCATTGTACTTTAGGGCTTTATGTATCTCATTTATCTGCATAACACTGCTGTGAGCTAGTTGTTATCATTTCCATTTTACACATAAAACTAAAACCCAGAAAAGCCAGCCCATTAAGTGGAAAACCTGGGATTTGAACTCTTTCCCTCTGATATAAAGATATGTTGTATTTATCACTATTAGACTGTAAGCAGAAACCTTGAGAATGCTTGGTTTTATGTTTTATTCAACTGAAGTGCATTGAAAACCTACTATATACAAGGTACTATGCTAAGAATTGTGCATTAATTACATTATCTTCTTATAACAGTCCTATGAGCTAAGCAGAGTTTTTTCATCTTGGCTCTATTGCTGTTTTGGCCAGATAGTTCTATCTTTTGAGGGGCAGTCCTGTGTATTGCAGGATGTTTAGCAATATACCTCGTCTCCTCCTCCCCTCAGTTGTGACCACCCAAAATCTCCAGATATTGCTAAATATCCCTTGGGGGCAAAATCACTCCGAATGAAAAACAGTGAGTTAAAATAATCCTACTTTACAGGTGATGAAAATAAGGTACAGAGAGTTTAGAGTAAATTGCACAGGGTCACAAATCCAGTAAGTGGCAGAATTTGAATCTGGCTCAGGACCTTGGAACCTGACCTCACATTCCTTCTCCCCTGTGGCATCCCTTTATCGGACACTGCCATGTTTCTAAGGAAACTCAAATACCAAAGAGGCCTTCAGGTGTCTCCTGAAAGCCTGACTTCTCCTAGGATGAGCTGGCCATCAAGATTTTGTCCAGGACTTAGAGGCATGCACACAGGAGGAAACCATGGGTTGCTTCCACTAATGGTTGCAATACAAATAGTTCCACAACTTTGTCTGTACCATTCATAGCTGCTCTCATTTCCTATCAAGTATGAATATATTTTTTGTCCAGGAAGGTTTCAATCTGTTGCAAACAATAGATGGGTAAAGCACAAAGTTGCAAACCAGTTCAGTCAGTCGCTGGGAGTTTCTGAAGTGACTTAAATAGCCCTGCCAATGTAGGTCGCTATTTTTAAGGCTGAGCTAAGTGTTTGAAAGTGGTTCACACAGCCATGCTCTCAGATAGAAGTCACAGGACATCAGAATTGCAAGAACTCCCAAGGCCTTGCCTGAGACCGGTGGAAATGGACACTGCGCACCCAGGATCACACAGCTGGGATTTCTGATAAAAACAAAACAAAACAAAAACAAAAACAAAAAACAAAGAAAGAAAAACTTTGATGTTTCCTTCTGCCTTGAGAATGGCTGAACTCATCACCTTCTGATATTCTGGGAAGGTGTGACTGCTTGGTTAAGCCCCTTCTTGCCCTGCTCTTGCCAGAATGGAGAAGAATAGATGACTGAGCCTTTCACTGTTTTTCTGTTCTGAGGATGGATTAAAGCCATTTATACTTGCACAACCACCCAAAGTCCTATATTATAGTTATTTAGCAAACACTTTATAGCACATACTGACTGCTTTACAAAACCTACTTAATATTCTCCCAATGGGTCCTATTGTCATCATTTTACCAAGGAGTAACTGGAATTGAGGGGGTTAGGGAGATGAAGTAACTTGTTCAAGGTCGTGGAAAATAAATGGCAGAGCCTGAATTGAAGAGTCTGGTTCTAACCCAGTGTTTCTCAAACTTGAGTGAGCATCAGCATTGTGTGGAAGCTTGTTAAACACAGATTGTTGGGTCACCCCCATCACCCCAGAGTTTTGGATTCAGTAGGTCTTGGGTGGTGCCCCAAAATTTACATCTCAAATTCCCAGGTGAAGCCACTATTGCTGGTCCTGGGACTATACGTCTCAAACTCTCTGCTCCAGCATATCTCCTCTTGATCACCACACCCTTTCTCTCCTACCTTATCAGCTAATTTAAAAAAAAAAAAAAAAAAAAAAGAAGAGTTACTTGGAGCAGTGGGTCGCCACTTTGGCTGACCTGGGTAGTATAAAATACCAATGCCTAGGCCCTATCCCCAGATATTCCGACTTCAATGGCTTGGCTTGGCTTTGGTTCCAAGCATCTGTAGTTTACAAGTTCCTCCACGGGGGATTCCAGTGTGCAGTAAGGCATCACATTGGAAACCACTGATTTGGGTGATGCCTCACAAACTTTCCAGGGTTTGTAAATTACATGGGGATCTCAAGAAAATGCAGATCCTGCATTTCTAACAAACCATGAGGTAGTACCCATGCTACCAGATCTCAGCCTAAGCTTGGGGTAGCAAACACTAGTATTTCCCAAACCCAAGATTGCCAGTTAAAAAATACAGAATGCCTCCTTCAATTTAAATTTTCAATAAATAATAACATTACTTTTTGGTATAAGTATATCCTATATATTTCAATAAAATTATACTAACATTTATACTAAAGATTATTCATTGTTTACTTGAAATTCAATTTAAGTGGGTATTTTTGTTTGACTTTGCTTTTTTGCTAAATCTGGCAACCTTACCTGAAGACAAGAATCATCTGAATTACTTGTTTAAATGCATTTACGCCTATTCATGGATTTCTTGTTCTATTCCAGACCTGCTGAATCATAATCATCAATTCTGGGACCTGGTAATCTGTATATTTAACAAGTGCTGCCAGGTGCTTCTTTTCAGCTCAATTTGGGAATACATAAAACCCTGGATTATGACTGCCTGAAATCCTCATACTGGCCGTTGTCAGGGCTGGACTTGTAGTCATCACACTGCATAGGAGCCAGAGCCAAATCCCTCTGCAATTATGACCTGTGTCGTTAACTTTTCTCAAGGTTTTTATGGATAAATACTTACAAAGGGTGTTTTTTTTCTTCCACTTGCACTTTTAATTTGCTAAATCATACTAAGGCCTTTCAGATCCATGTATTTTTTTGTCAACACATTAACAGACATGTAGCCATATTTGATCTTAATTATTCAATTATTTGTTTTGTATCAGGGGATGCTCCTTGAGCTAGAGTCACTTGATTCGCATTTGTAGAGTTTTCCAGTATTGGCACTTCATTTGGTATTTTATGACAAGAGGCTTTATTTGAAAATATCTTGCTAAATGGTTGTTAGCTGCTTCCTGAACATACTGTGCAGGACAACGTAGTTTATAATAAAATTCAGGCTTCCTCCAACTCGTTATTATAATGCTGTATTTTACATGTAAATTATATTAGGAAGCCTGTGTCTTTCCTTTAGTGATTAAGATTTCATGGAAGGGAAGAAGAATGGAAAGAAAAGGAAAAGGGAAAGGAAAGGAAAGGAAAGACAGTTTGTTTTTAATAAGCCTCCTCTGGGGAAGATAAACTTTCTGATACCGTACATAATTGAGTAAGCCAGAATAAATTGTTGCATTCTCTACATAGGCCTCTTTTCACTCACAAGGATATTCTTTGTGCCATCTCTAACTGTACTATTGCTTTTGGAAACGTTTTTAATAATAGAATAGACTGTGTTCATACCTGTAAGAACTTGTTTTCTTGATACCACCTTACAAAGCATTCCAAATGCTTTCTCTACTAGTGTAGAGAAATTGGTGGGGATTTCTTGGGGTTTGTGTGTGTGTGTGTGTGTGTGTGTGTGTGTGTGTGTGTGTGTGTGTGTTTTTAATAGTACCTCAGGGTAGCAAATTCATGTGTTCTCTCACTGCAGGGAAGCAGCACATTTAAAAAACAAAAACAAAAACAAAAAAACCACCAGAGGAAATTGCCACTGCTGACTTTTGCACAAAGAAGAGGAACAAAATGCTTCCCATGTCTTTTAGTAGTCAATGGGCCACAAATAATCCTATGGTGGCATTCTACATTTACCAGACCAGTATTAAATTTGTGAACACTTTTTCCAACAAAAACAAACTGTTCCTACATCCTTTATAAAGGCTGTAGGAAAACGGAAAGGAAGTTAAGGAAAAGTAATGGAGGTGGTTAAAATTATGCAAAATAGTTCATCTGCGGAAAACATGCAGGAAATAGGCTTGTTTCACTTGAGAGGTGCTGGAAGGGCTGGGCTGGGCTGGGCTGGAGAGGGATGAGTTGCCCAGTATCCTGGGGAATTGAAAGTCTGAAAGGCCGAGACCCCTGCTTTGGATGTTTGCTGCGGGAGAGCCACCACATGAGGTTGTTTAGGGTGCACCTAGTGCGAGAGTTCCCAGCTGTGTTAGCCCCTGCCACACTCACTAGCCTGAGCGGGCACCAGGCTGGGGGAAGGGTGCCTGCTCTGTGGTCATCTGACCGCAGGGGGCACTGTTTCCTCTTTGCAAAGGGCTCACGAGTAGCTGAGACTGTGAGTTCCTGAAAGCTTCATCACTGCTCCCTGCCACCAGCTTCGGTGGTGCCAGCCTGGGATTTGGAACTACCCAAAGGCTTTTACAGGCTATGCAGTAACTTCATCTGGAGTGAAAGGACCAAGTGATGAGGGATGTTGAGCCATCCTAAAATGGCATCGTTTACTTCCTTCCAAAGTATGGTTAAGGTCTGAGGAAGTCTTGGGCATTCACGAGGGCAAGGAGGAATTTCTGCAGGTCCTGGACTGAGGAAGCTTAGGCAGGATTCAGTAATGCTTCAGAAACTGGGCTCAGGTCTCTGGTTAGACTGTGACTACAAGGCTGTCCATTGCTATTGCTTGTCACGTGGAGTTACTTCCTCTTTCTTCTTGATGTTGGAAAGGCAGGCACCTAGAAAATTCTCCAGAACCTACCCTTTCATTTTGCTCCTGAATTGAATTTAAGTTGTAAACTAGAAATTGTAAAAGATAATGTGTCGATTTTTGTTGCAACTTAAATTGGGGGTTTGCCCAATTTAAGAGGAGCAAGTCACATTCTCCTTTCAGAGTTTGTCTCAGAAGGAATGTTCAGGAGTCAGGTGTAATGATGCTTTTTTTTTTTTCCAGCCACAGGACGAAGTCTTCAGGCTGGCCACCTCCCTCAGGACCCTGGGGCTTGAACCAGGTGCCCCCCTATGGATGGGAGATGACGGCAAACCGAGATGGGCGAGACTACTTCATCAAGTAGGTTCAACAGATGGCATGAACAATAGGATCCTTGGCCAATGGACTTCTTTATCTTTATGAGAATGAACATACTTAAATTAGGCACTCATAGGCATTTGGAGGCCATGACTAAAGCAGCTGGATCTCCTAAACCAACTGCTTATATTTCTATATATTTCTATATTTATTTCTATACACTTGTATTTCTATATATTGTGATGTTGGGTTGCTTCATTCTTGGACAGGCACCATCTTCGAGTGACAATTCACTGTGTAGCATGGTAAGCCTGACTCAGAGCAAAAGTTACCACCGTTCAATATTAGGCCGAGTTGTATTCATTGTCTGAGACTAACAACCAAAGTCGGACATGCAAGATTTTCATTTACAAGGCTTTTTAGGAGCGGTCAAGACAGGAATGTTACTTTCTCATCTGTAATTTTTTAAAAATCAGCTAAAAGGATAATATACATTATCTGTTTTATTGTAAATTTCTCACACTAACATTGGCTTAAGTTTTGGATTTTTGTGGTGCTCTGGTTTTTTGTTAATTGTGGTATAGAAAGATAACGTGAAATTTACCATTTTAACCATTTTTAGGTGTACAATTCAGTGGCATTAAGTACATCCACAATGTTGTGCAACCATTCACTACTATCCATTTCCAGAACTTTTTCATGATACCCAAAAGAAACTTTGTACCCATTAAACAATAACTGCCAGTTCCTCCCTCCCCTTACCCCACGGTAACATCTATTCTACTTTCTGTCTCTATAAGTTTATCTGCTCTAGGGACCTCATATAAGCGAAATTATATATCTTTTTGTCTTCAACTTCGTTCACTTAGCATAACATTTTCAGGCATGTCAGAATTCTGTCCTTTTTTATTTTTCCTTTTTAATGTTCCCTTGTGTGGACATTTTGTTCATTCATTCATCTGTTAATGGACATTTGGGTTGTTTCCACCTTTTGCCTATTGTTACTGGTATTTTTATGAACATTTGTGTACAAGCATCTATTTGAGTCTCTGCTTTCACTTCTTCTGGACACACATACCTAGGCGTGGAGTTGCTGGAACATATGGAATTGCCGGGTCAAAATTAAAGTCTGTGTTTAACTTTTTGAGGAACCACCAAACTGATTTTTGAAGTGGCTACAGAGTGGTCTTGTTTTTTGTTTTTTGGTTTTGTGTGTGTGTGAAAAGAGCATTTATATTTCTCAAAATGGCAAGGGTCCATACTGCCCTTTTTCTCCAACCTGAGCAAAATATCCTTAATTATAAGACATTCATGAAACAGATTTGAAATCAGGAAGCGTGGTTGGTTCTAGCCTGATCATAACAGAGCAGAGATTGGAGGCCAGAAAAAAATTATTTCGCAACCACATGCTATGTTCTTTGTTCCAGCCAAGTTGATTATGGACTGATTAGTCAAACACAGGATCACCATGAGGTGATGGGTCATTTTTATAAAAAATATCTGCCAAGGTTGTTTCTAGGGGATTTGGTCTTTTGTACCAACCCCCGCCCACCACCACCACCACATACAAGTGAGGATTATTGAAAAATAGCAACAGGGACAACACATGTGAATGTTGTAGACAGTTTCTCAGTCTCTGAAGCCCAAATCTCTCTCCTTCCCTAGAATTGCTGCACAGGGGACAGGACTCCCATCCCTTCAGAGCACAGTTTGTTTCTGAGGTACTTGACTCCTGGGTCCATCCCAGAAAGATCCAGGATGCCCTTGAACATGACTGGAAAGTGGCCCCCTGCCTCTCCAAGGCTTTCCTAAGGATGAGCTCACAGAGATATTATCATAGAAATGGCAGTGGGAGCAGAGCCTCCCAGAAACCTCAAAGATTAGAAGAAAGGCCAATAGTTTGGCTCAAACCCCAGATTTTGAATTCATAATTTCATACCATTTGTCCAAGTCCCTTAGGCTGCTAGGAAGACGGTAATTTTTAATATTATATTGTACCATCTATTTTGTAACAGGGCCATGACTGTGTGCAATTGGCTTAGTTAAGGTGACCTAGATGCTTTGACTCAAAACAATAAAAATTTGTGGCTGAAAAAATATAGTTTTTAAAAGACATGGATTTATGAGTTTATGAAGGTATGCATCAGACTTCTCTGATTAAAACAGATGTTTATTTTCCTCTGGTTGGATTTGGGTTCCCATACATTCCAGGTCATTCGATCAATAGGTGGAAACCCAAACTGAGGCCAACTGGTTAGAGGTTCTGGGAACGTCAGCTAGCTCTGCCTTCATGCATTACCATTACCATCACTGACATTTTTAAGAGCCAGACTGGGTGTCAGTGTAACATTTACACTGGCCTAATGCCCACTGTTAAAACATAAGAGCAAATCAGCAGCTTAATAGAGAAACCTGCACTGATTACTAAATGGCAAGTTTTAAAACCAAAGTCACCAATGTCATTTTTCCAAATCCATGCAGTTTCATTTTACTTGAAAAGTAAGTTTCTACAGTCCTCTCAGAGAAAGTTTTAAGATGTCAAGAACAGTATTTCTTCTGAAAGTGTTTGTTCTTTATCACTAATGAGTTTTATAAATAATGACAATCATTATTTTTCTTTCCTTTTTTTTTTTTTTTTAACTTACTGGGTAATGTTTATTACAAAGAGGTACTTTAATTATCAGAGTTCTCGGGAGCCCAGGTTTGCAGTGTGGAATATTTCTGTACTCATTAGTTTTAGAAGTTAAAGGGACAATTTGAAAATTAATCTATGGTTAGTAATTAGCACCTTTGCATTTAATTTTTCACTCTCTTGCATATTTTTGAAAGAGAAATTTAGATGTTTTCTTTTTTTATCTCATCTTAGTATGTAAACAATAACCCACATCAAACAATTGTTTTTGATGGAAGTACAAGTATTCCGAGTGACAGACAAAGCTATGGGAGGAAGTTGGCTTTTATGTGTTCAAAGTTAGAGTCTAACAACTAAATAATGAGATAATTTTAACATAATGAGTCTTTCAGGACATGGCCCAGGAGACTTCAAAATGTGCTCAAGTTTCATCTTCCCTCCTCCATACCCAATTTTTTAGGGTAGGACTGGGTAACCTGTTTTCTATAGAGTTACTGATTCACGAGGTTAAATGAAGGATGCAATACACACATGCTAATATATGTTTTATAATACTGTATAGGCTACAAACTAATGGTTCTCAACCTTGGCCACACATTGGAATAGACTGAGGATCAGTAAAAAATCCTGATGCCTGGGTCTGGGGTCGAGCCTGGGAATAGTGAGTTTCAGGAGCTCCCCAGGTAATTCTAATGAACAGCTATGGTTGCTGCTGTAAAGCACTTGTCAACACATGATCTCATTTGTTTGACTTCAACACAGAAATGATTAACTCCATTTTTCTGGATGGTAAAACTGAGACTCATCCTATGAGAAAGAAAAACTTTTGTTGATATTCTTGGAGAAATATGAAATGCAGTTTTAAGGAACAGAAAACATTGTTTAAGAAATATGATAGATGCAAATTTAAAATTTCTCAGTTCCTTATTATTACCAGTTAAGAGACAGCAGAGCAGGGGAAGGGAGGAAGACAGATAGAAAGAAACTACAAGGAAAAGGAAAGAGTCATGGGAAAGAATGTCCCAATGAGAAATGGATGAAAGATGGAGAGATGAAGAGAAACAGAGAAAGTGAGATACTCTAAGGTGATTGTTATAATAACAGCATCAATTAATAATAACTTTAGAGGTAGGTATAGATGGAAAGGGATGTAGATATATTATAGAGCCAATCATAGATACAGATACAGACATAGATGTGGATATACATAGATATAGAATATGGATATTGATGTATTAATACAGATATAGATGGGTATAGGTATACAGATGATATAGACTATAGATATAGATGATAGAGCTATAGATATGGATACGGGTATAGATGATTAGATACAGATATAGACTATAGATGAGTGACTTATACAATCACATTCGCCCAGGAGAGTCCTGGTTTATGGGTGTCATTCTGAAGTAATTACAGACAGCACCTCCTTTTGCTCTCAAAGTGTTCTGGTTTGGACAATACAAGGTATTTTTTAAATACTTTACATGTTTAAAAGTCAGAGAATGAGGAACACCATTTTTTAGTTAAATTGGGTAAAAATATGCTTGTTTGATTGTGAAGGTAGGGAAAGTTAATGCAAAAGTACCATGATTCAATAAATCTGGAACTTTGGTTTTGTAAATTACAGGAAAAAATTAAAACACAAGCAAAATGAATATTACAATACTAGCTGGCAAAATAGATTATGATGATGAGCCAAGTTAGAGTCTGAGGATAGAGATGAGGGTTGGAGAGGAGACTGGAGGGTCAGTTCCGAAGCACATGGCCTGATTTTTCAAGTTCTAAATTTGAGAGGCTTTTTTTGTTGTTGGCTTGCTGGCTTCCTGGCCACCTTCATTCTGTGTGCACAAAAAGTAGCCCTGCATGAGGATTGGACAAGACATGCTATTCTATTATTCTACCAGCAATTCCCATGGTGGGCAATTAAACTGAGTACTATCTACTTAATGCAGAATAATTCAACTCTGAATCCTGAAGAGTGGAAATTAGTAATGAGATGTGGAAACTTCCACTTTGTTCTCCAGTATGGGCTTGGCTCAACTTGGGAGTAGTTTAGTCATTCTCATTCGTCAATCTATTCCATGGTCAATGTGAAATGTATTTTTGGCTTATCTGTCTCCAGAAAATAATAATCTGAATAAATACAAATAATTTGTGTGCCCTTTCTTATCAACCACAGCAGAAGACAGTCAAGTCAACATGATAGGATTCTGTCATCATGGAAATTAGAAACAGAAAAGGCTTACCTCATTCTTTTGTGTGAGCCTCAAAGTATTTACCCAGTCTAATAGGTTATCTTCAAATATTATTTGGTAGTTCTAGGGCTATTCTTTGGATATTTTATTTCTTGATTTTTACTACAAGATTTCATGAGACTTTTACTGTTATTCTGTGGAGTCCCTTT